CTCCGCGTTGCATGCTGGGAAATGTAGTCCCCCGCCTCACAAAGCTCCATTTTCCTGAGGGGGGGAAGTGGATAAAAATGGAAAATGAAGGAAAAGAGGCCTAAACTCAGCAGGTAACAGGGCCTCGGTGAGTCGGGGAACCCTCCCTGCTTCATTTCTCCTCAAACGAGGCGACTGGAGCATCTTCCCTATGAGAAAAGGCTGAGGGAGCTGCTGGGGCTGTTCAGCCTGGAGGAGACTGAGGGGGGTAAATCTCATAAATACTTAGAAATATCTCAACAGTTGGGGTCAGGAGGATGGGACCGGGCTCTGCTGGGTTGTGCCCAGTGCCAGGACAAGGGGTCCCAAACGGGAACACGGGAGGTTCAACCTAAATATAAGGAAAAACTTATTTACAGGGAGGGTGGCAGAGCCCTGGCCCAGGCTGTGGAGCCCCCTTCTCTGGAGACACCCAAACCTGTCTGGACGTGTTCCTGGGTGATCTCCAGAGGTCCCTTCCAACCCCAACCACGCTGTGATCCTGTGTGAAACTGGAGTGGGAGAAGAAAGACTTGAACGCTCCCTCACACCAGTGTGTGAGGTGCAGAAATCAGGCACAACTGGGCCGCTCCAACCAACCTCTGCAAACCTCAGCCACGTCCTCTGCCTTCAAGAGCCTGCGGTGTTTACCCAGGCGCTGCTATTTGCCTTAAAAATGGCTTTTCAGAGGTCCCATCGCCCCCCTGCGCTGTCCCCTTGCCCACAGCCATGCAGCAGGACAGAGGCAGCGATGGTTGTGCTGTGGAGAGGAGGGGGTTGCTTGCAGGAGTTGTCCCTCAGGCCTGCCACGTTTTGGCCACTACTGGTTGTGGTTGGAGCAGTCTCAGCTCCAAAACCCATTTTACAGCTGCAGAAACAGCGAGGTGCTCGGGCCACGCAGGGTGGTCCCAGCAGATCTTGTATCTTCTCCTCACACGAGGGTTTCCAGGTCGCTGCTGTCGAGCCCAGTCCCTGGCAGATTTGCTCTGCCAGATCTCCCTGCAGTGATTTCCAAGGCCACTGCCTTTGGATTCAGGGCTGATCATGTTTGACCCGGGCGTTTTCAGAGATGTAAATGCCTCCCTGAGGCATCCCACACCTTCAGGACGTGACTTGTGTCCCTCTGCCTGGGCCCTGCCACCCACCAGATTCAGACACTCCCGGTTCCTGGATTTACAGCATTTACTCTCTCTCTCAAAGCACCCAAGACCTCACAGATCCCCATCAGAGCAGTTCTCAGCTTCTGGAGAGGCTCAGGCTGTGCCCTCACTCCCCCTCCCCAAACACTTCCCCCTCCAGCAACGATTTTAACGGTTTTAGCTGAGCAGTTACCACCTCAATTAGCAGCTCCCTGCCTCCACCCCCGGTTCCTGGGTGTGGGGTGGCCGTGTCCCCACACTGCCCACCCCCCCACACACCCCTGAAGCAAGGCACGCAGCGATCACAGCATCTCCCCCACCCCTCCCCAGCTTATTTGTGTCTGCAGGAACAGCTGGGACACGGCCACTGTGAGATCCAGCCAGGACAGCAGCAGGAAGACACCCCCAGGCAGGACACCACCACATCTTTAATCCCACAAAGGACTTGGTAGGAGGAAATGCAGCAACACAAAGAGGGGATCCAGCCCAGGCAGAGCCTCAGTGAGTTCCCAGCACCACGTTGTGTCACTCCCACACCTCTCGGCTGCTCAGCCAAGGGCACAGGACCGGGCAGCATCCGACCCCATCACGCACACAGCTGGATGTAGGTTTCTTGCGACCAGAGCCAAAAGTAGGGGAAGACTTTCTCGGCGAAGGAGGCTTTGAACTGCAAGATCTGAGCCATGCTCTCCGCGTTGTAGAAGGTCACTTGGCCCGCTTCGTAGTCCAGGTGGATCCTGATTCTCCGGGGCTCTTCCTTCAGCACCAGCGGGGCAGGGGGCATGTGACCAGCCGCAGGGCCCAGATCTTCCCCATGGCCACGTTGAGCGGCTCCTTCCTCCGCACGGACTCCAGTGCCACCCCCACGGCCCAGCTGACCCCGGCCCCTACCTCCAGCTCCCAGTAATGCCTCCCGGCCGTGAACCCCTGACAGCCCAGGGCGCTGGGGCTGCCCGTGAACCTCTTGGGGGTGTCGGGGGGGGTTTGGTGTCCGTCTCCCAGCCGCACGGTTCTGCAGTCCTTCGAGAGGATCAGGTACGGGCTCGCTGTCTCTGGGTCCAGTGTCACCGTCACTAAGGCACGACAGAGAGAAACGTCAGTCCACTGCCCACCGACCTCCTCTCCACAGGATCACAGAACGTGAGGAGTTGGAAGGGACCT